ACAATAGGACGAAACGGTCGTTCAGTGCTTCCAGGTTTTCCTTGGTGGTCTAGCTTCAATTGACTCACGCTTCCAGCTATGAAAATTGGCAAAATAACAATCAATTGTCTCAATTTGACTGTTTCTTTTGCAAATATCCGTCCATAGTCTCTGATTATAATTTTTCATGCGTTTTCTTACCAATTGCGTGTTGTTACCGTTCTCTCCCTATCGATCTTTTACTGGAATGCATTCAATGCCCGACCATCACTACATACTACTTATGTGGATATCAGTAACCCACACCACACTACATTTTATTGATATTTTTCTAATACTGTCAAAAAAGTGTACAGAATTGAATGATAAAATGTAGTGTTGGGTGGTTAACTGAGTTTGATACTTGAATATACGTTTACTATATGAGAGTTCAATCAACGAGTTGAGTAAACTAAGAATGAACTTAGTTAATTTCTTCTGTTATCCCTAACGGGAGCGTAGGCCACCGATTAGGGTTCTACAGCTGACTATTTCTTGGATAATCTTTTCCAGTTGCAATTCATTCCTTCGATATCTGCCACCGGTTCCAAATTTAATATGTTTTGATCTACCTCTTTTCCATTTCCCTTTACGATTCCGGGTTAAGGTTTGCCTCATTATACAGTTGGGTGATTTCTGTAATGTATGCTCTATCCAACACCAGAGTTCCTATATAAATTCCTCTTCAGATGGAAGCTGGTTTACTCTCTCTCTTTCATAGTAGGTTGTTGACTATGGTATCCAGTCATAAGACAACAAATGACATGAGTAAACAATCATATACAAATACATGTACTATTTTGCTGGTGGTTTTAGTGGTTTTCCAAGTTTCAGCGCCATACAACAGAACTGTCTTGACGTTCGTATTGAAGATTCTTACTTTGATGTTAGTTGACAGTTGTTCTGAGTTCCATATGTTCTTCGACTGTAGGAATGCTGCCCTTACTTTGCGAATTTTCGCCTTTACATATGCCTTTGATCTTCCTTTTTTATAGATGGTGCTGCCAGATACCTTTTGGCTAGCCGAGTAATCAAGTAATCCACAGTGAGATGAAATATACGGCTCGATGAACAAAATGATAAATCTATATCCACTGAGATATGTAGAAAATATATTAAGTACCTCAAATTACTGCCGAACTCGACAAGCAGTAGTGACTATTTCAGTAGTCGATAAAATAACATATGAGGATGGTGAAGCCAAAATATAAAATCATTGCATGTACTGTTAGTTGAAGCTGTTCAGAGAAGTCTTAACTTCTTTTGGGGTTTTACTCAATAAACAAAACGGACGCCCTCTTCATCTTCGCCTGCATGAACATCAATTAGCAGTCGAATGCCATGACATGTCTTCACTTATATCAATTCAGCGGACAACTGCGGACACACATTCGATCGCAAAAATGTGGAGATTTTGGATAGAGGCATTTCCTAAAACACTAGAGAATTTTTAGAAGTTTGGTACTCAGGTCAATCAGCAATAAACAAGCACATTGAAATCAACCCAATTCATCAACCAATCAGCAGATACAACCAGAACAAAGTAAATAATGACGAATTCAAGTTCAACAGGAACCAATCAACATCGAGGTGTACAGGACAAGCTATGAACTACATATGGAGAAATTCGTACATTGCGCTTCTACCTGTGCAATGATGTACATTGCCTGTGCTGATGATGTCGTTCAGAATGACTCCACGACCAAACCATTCAACTCAGAGAACAAAACTCCATTGAAACCAAAATCAATGTCTAGAGGGATTAGGTGAATGACTCAAGATCAGTCACATTGGTGCAAACGAATCCATCATTCCTCTTTTTTTTAAATTTGGGATCTTAATGTCATTTCACAATTTTATCTCCACTAAACTATTCACTATTTTGGATACTACTAATGATAATTTGACTTCTTTGCTATGTGGATTACTTTCTAACTGTGTTCAAATAATGTGACAACTCCGTTTAATGTACAACAGATCGTAAGTTCTTCAGATAGATTAACACATACGTATTAAAAAAATAAGTAGTTCTAGCTAATCCACTTTCTTTGTTAAGAACAATTATGGACAATACAAAACATTAAAACTCGATTCATCGGATGATTGTCTGAGACACTTAGACTACTCAGACAGCACAACTCGAATATTCACAACACACAACCCAAAACAATCACTCATATTTAAGCAATGCTACAATTCTCACCTTAAATGCCCTGTTATGGCCGAGAGTGGGGAGAGTCCGCTCTCCTTCTCCAAATGCTCTCACATGGTCACGTGTATATAGATAGCCTCTGTCAGGGAAGTCCTAATCATTGCCTTCCCACAGTGGCATTACTGTTGTTTACGAAATTGAGAGGACGAAAATCCAATGTACGGCGCTTTGACTGGGTTGGTGGACACGGAATGTTCATGTGGGGGAGTTGGAAAAGCTTGATTCCAAAACAATGGTGCATATGGACTGGCTGCAGTATCCATTATGCTGAGGGGACAAATGGCGTGTGAATCAATCTTTGGTCACCGGCTACCATGGGACTGAATTTCTTCACGATGCTCCGCTGCCTTGTGGATCACACCTTTCGGTCAAAGGCTCCGGGTGTAGCACCCTAAGAAAACCACCTGCTTCGGTTTGGGCATCCGGGTAGCATCACAGCACTCACATAAATCAAATGAGATTTTTGCGGGGCATATATTTCTGGTGACCTCTTGTACCAATATTTATGTGTTTAAATAAATAAATAATTCATTCAAAAGTTAGTTTAGTTCTGAACTAGTGAACATTTGAAGCTTTCTGTTAAAAGTTCTTCATATTTAACGTATCATTTTATTATCAGAAGGGGGTTTTGTGGAGATTTTAGTAATTTTAATACTTGAAATCATAAGTCAATTAAAAGTAGACCACCATGGAAAACCTGGAAGCATTAAACGACCGTTTCCTCCTATTGTGGTACTCCTCAGCAGTGCGCATACACGATCCCTCCTTGCGAGATTCGAACCCAGGACCTATCATTCTCGCGTGAGAACGCCTAACCACCAGACCACTGAGCCGGTATCCAACGGTGTTATTGTCTAACTTCAACCAATCCACGAAGTTGAGCAACCATTCACCAATGTCTTCAGTGAATTGATATTTCACAACAGTTCTGGGTTCGAATCTAGCGAGGCGAGATCTTGGATACGCACTACTTAGGAATCCCAAAATAGGATGAAACGGCCGTTCAGTGCTTCCAGGTTTTCCATGGTAGTCTAGCTTCAATTGACTCATGATTTCAAGTATCATTTCATCAATTGAACAAATTGTTGAAGTATTATTCTTTATGTTAATTCTAGTGTTTTACCAAAGTTCCAAAGCCTATGAAACTGGCGTATAGATACATCGTTACTTATAATTACTGTTATTGTTTACAAGTGAATAATAAATAAATATCTGAAATAAATATTTCTTGATCCTTCATTCTTACTTTTTGGGGGACTAAATCAGATCAATGTTTATCGGGAAGAAAGTTTCTTAATGACAACGAGTGGTAGTTAAATTTAGGAAACACAAGTTTCACCTGGGCAGAATTATATATATATATATATAGAGAGAGAGAGAGAGTTTACACTTAGAAAGTATATTAAGTTTTCAAATCCCAATGTGAGATAAACAACACTAAGATTTTAATTCATCTAAATTAGTTGTAAATAATGGAAAATCACGAATAATTTTTCCTGGTCAGCTTCTTTTTTAGCGAGTTAGTTTTCTACGAGATGGAGTCGCTAACCTCATGCCCCACCCTTCTCCTTTATTCGGGCTTGGAACCGCCAGTATCTTCCAGAGGGGGCTACACGCGGAGTTAAATGATGGAAAATGTTATGTGGCTATCAAGTGTCGGTGGCCGAGTGGACAACGCGATGGCGTTTGGAGCGAAAGGTACTGGGTTCGAGTCCCGGAGTAAACATCAACTCTGAGATGCAGGTACATCCAGCCGACGACTCCCAAATAGGAAGAAACGCGCGTATTGGATTCCACTGCTAGCCACTACCCATTTTTGCTTACTATGTCTTTAATTGTTTAAAAGTATATTGCCAGTTCATATGAATTAATTGATTAACAAAACCACTTTTGATCTATAATGTAATTGTATCAAATTAATATATCAACAATAGTAAAATGATTTAATGGTTGAAATCATGAGTTAATTGAAGTGAAACCATCATAGAAAACCTGGAATCATTGGACGGCCGTTTCGTCCAATTGTGAGACTTCTCAGCAGTGCGCATCCACGATCCCGCCTCACGAGCTTCGAACCCAGGACCTACCTCGCTCGAGAAGCGGGATCGTGGATGCGCACCACTGAGGAGTCCCATAATAGGACGAAACGGCCGTCTAGTGCTTCCAGGTTTTCCATGATGGTCTAACTTCAATTGACTCATGATTTCAACTATTAAGATACTGAAATCTCCAGAAAACCCCTTCTGATAAGTTAAATGGTTAATATATTTCTTTTTCTTAATCAGAAAAATACATTCTGACATTAATTGAAAACAAAATACACAATATTAAATAAATAAAAATCATAGAAAATCTTCAATAGACTTCTTCTTCTTCGAAACCAACTGATATGTATCCATCTCTGTATGTAGATGTAAACATATAAGACAGTTTTTGTGATTTGGGCATTTGTATACATCTATGTAATGAACCAATTGAAATGAAAGTAACTGAAATTACAGGAGAAGTGGATAGTGATTTCTTATATATACTCGGATATGTATACGGATCTAACTAAATTTCCAAGAAGAATGATATAAATATCTATGTTGATATATATGCTGGTCGGTGGCCTATGCTCCATTGGATGTAACAGGCGTAAGTAAGTAAGTAATGTTCATATATATAATTGAAATATAGAATATCAAACATGTATACTAAGAAAATTAGTCAGTATTCAGTAATATATAAAAACTATTTTCAGTAGACTTATGTGCATGTGCGTTTGAATTCAGTGCCATTTGTGAGTATTCTCTTCGTAAATCAAGTTGAAGGATCTATAAAACCAATGAAGAGATGAAATAAAAGTGAGGACTTATCATTGAAATATTGTATGAGGCGAAATTTTTTATTTAAAAGAATCAATAGAGTGAAGAAATATCTTTTCTGTTAGCCGTTCATGATGGCTTTGTACTATACTACCAGTCAGTCGGCTACAGTGTAGGACCAGGCACATATATGCATCGACCCAAGTTACCCTAACTTCATTAGCACAACAAGATGAACATCGAATTCATAGAAGTAGTTAATTTAATGGTGGTATCACTATACTATACTATATATAATGAACAAAAAGAAGGGACTAACAAAATATTTTGATGAAAGGTCAGTATGATTGTAGTTATGTAAAAATCTAGAGACGAATGTTGAGAATATTTAAAAATACAAAAAGTGAGAGAAATTAGAAAGTTTTTCAAAAAAGTTCAGCTAAAAACTCACTCCTATACCGATATACAAGGTGGCAAGAATGGTTGTACAAACTTCTTTCGGATACAAAGGTGTGGTTTATCAATATGGATTCCGATGGCTTCAGTAACATGCAACAGATGAACTCGTAAACCATGTAGCGAATTTGATGGAATATGGTGAATAAAATTAAAAGCTTTATTCAAGTCAACTTGATGATCTGTGTTCGCCAAGTGAGCGAGAACAGAACTCATAATCACTTTTACCTGTCCTTTGCTGAATCAAGACAGATGGTGCTACTTTATGAGTTCTCTTTATTTATTCTTTTTACTAAATGTTAAAATGGGAACTTTCACTATGCTGAAACTTTTATTATCATTTACTCTAGTCAATTACCAACTTACGCCTGTTACCCATCGTGGAGGAGCATAGGTCACCCACCAGCAATCTCCATCCAACTTTCCTGGGTAATCCTTGACAGTTATTTCGAGCTGCTGTTCATCCTTCTCATCTGACTCCGGTTCTTGACACAATGTGTTTCTTGGTCTTCCTTTTTTCCGCTTCACTTAAAAAATCCAAGTTAGCGTTTTCTTCGTGAAGCAATTTGGTGATTTCCGTAATGCATGTCCTATCCACTTCCAAAGTCTCTCCCCAATTTCCATTTCATTAAGAAGCTGGTTTTTTCCTACCACAGCAGGCTGTTGCTGATGATATCTGGCCAACGGACATTCAGTATCTCACATAAACAATTGTTTATAAATACATGCATTTTATGATGATGGTTGTAGTAGTTATCCAAGTTTCAGCTTCGTACAGTAGAACTGTCTTGACATTTGTATTGAAGATTCTTATTTTGATATTGATTGACAGTTATTTCGAGTTCCCTATATTCTTTAATTATTATGAGTTTCTTCATAAGTCCTCGAGTTGTTCGGGACAATGTCAGGGTTTTATGAAGAAAAGTAACCCTCGTTATTAAGTGAATGGAAATCCTGACGTCACAATAAAAAATGTCTTCATGTGATTAATTGTTGAACTTATAGTAGGTTAGTTGGTCAGTCAAAAGAAACATTGAAATTTTTAAAAAAATAGGTAACTTCTCAAGTTGCTACACCTTGTCGGCAAATGGCAAGTCCCATGGTAGTAGAAGTAGTAAGTGTTGTAAAGATTAAACATAGACAGTAAGGTTTTATAAGACAGAACAAAACGTCCAGAATAATTTTAAAGGGTAAGATTTACAAGAAGATAACAAGTGACGGAATCTGAGATATTCCACCAAATTCTGCAACTGTTGTCCACGATAGGTTTATGGATGCCAACCAGTTAATGTGGTTCTACCAATATGATTTAGACTAGCAGTATATGATTTAATGGAATTATGTCACTACATTGTTTGACCGCATATAGCTTTCTTTCGGCTCAGTCTAACACCAGATAAAAAAATAAGTACATATTTTTAGGAAATTCTTAAACCAGAGGAATATCAACTTTATAGATTTCTTTACATCTCAACAACCATCTACTTGATATGTAGTGAATAGAACACTAGTTGGGGACAATCGAATATATTTTAGCAAACATTACAGACTATCTCGGTAAATTCTGATAACCAAACAATGAACAGTCAATTTGCAAATTAACAACCAATTGTTTCAATCTTCACTGTTTCTTCTCTAATTCCATTGCTCATGCATTTTCCAAACGATTGCGCTTCATTTCAGTTCTTTCTTCATCGGTCTTCTGCGAAAATACATTCTATGTCTGACCCACACCATATACTACTTATATAGATATAAGTAGACAACACCACAGATATATCAGTATTCTTATAAAAATTAAACTTTTAGTTTCTATTTAAAAACAAATCACCCTCAAAAATTGCCTACTAACTATCTGTATATAACATTTCTATCTAGATTGAACATATTGTTGTAAAAATTAGTTATTAGTTAGGAAACAACATTGATTAAACACAAATAATCTTTATTTTCTGTTATAACGGGTGGTTTCCTTGTCTTTAAGAACAGTACGTCAATTCGCCTTGGACGAACATCTACACTAGATTCCCTCCCAGTGTATATTTTTCAACATAACTCAGACCAAGAACACGTGATTAGCCTAACTAGAACGCAAATATATTTCCACACCGAAAAACCGACAACAATCCAATAACAATCATAAGAATAAGAGAGTATGTAACCCATCTAACGCCTGTCAGACTATCTACAAGTCTAACTAAGCAAACAACCAATTGTTATCATCCTGGTCCACACATCGGTTTCATAACCCTTTCTTCACAACGATGACTTGTTTTCAGTACATTCAATGTTTCTCTTTATTTTCAAATTACTTCCCTGCATGAACGTTTTTCTTTTCATATTCTGTTAATTATTGAATCCTATTCCTTTTTGTAAGATCCATTTCTTTTAACTGTTCCCAACTTCATTCATATGTACAAAAAGAAAGATGTCTAACCTCCGGTTACTTCCTTAGATGTTCGTGTAATTAAGTAACTACATCAATAACAAAATTCAAAACTTTTTACTGATACATTGGCATTTTTTATTCGATTGATTTTACCGCTTACTGGTAATCACTAGTCATGTACGTTCTTATCTCCTCTATTCTATAATATTAATTTTCTATTGTGTACATAGGCATCAATCCTTATTACTTTATTAAATACTAAGTTTTCCATATTCTCCTGCTTACTATGACTTTTCACTTAGCTTTGAATATAACCATCTCAAAATTGCTAGAAAAAATGTGTATCATATCTTTTGTTTTCAACCATACCATTCCATGTAACATTAGGAAGTCAATAAATGAGAAAGCTATTAATGTATTAGATCGAGTTTCGAATGATTCTCATCAGGAAAGTGTGTATAACTTATATATTTTTAGATACTGTGGTCGACGTCACACTAATTGACGGTAATACCAAGCAACAAATACAGTACTGAATATTCCGTTTGACAAGAACTAGTAATACAATAAATTAAATGGTTTACATTTAATTTCAGTAACGTTAATCATCTCACTAGGTATCTCTCTTTCACACAATGAAGTTTAGACCATATTACTGAGTTGAGCATGAGAATAGTTTTAATTCAAGTATATTGCAAAGATTACAAATATGGTTTATGATATAACTACCGGTTACCATAACAATCCTTAAACTGCACTGTGATATAAAAATTATCTATCTCAATATATACATACTTAGTTAGAACCCAGAAAACTAAGTGTTACATAGGAACAGAATACTAATAAAATGGATGAGAAAGATTCTACATTATTGTTGATAATAAAATTGTTAATGTTGAAATTTTGTAATTCTAGTGAACATGAAGTTGAAAGGCCCAGGACAGAGTGGGTTGGAGAATGCTGGTCGGCGGCCTATGCTCCATTGGGAGTAACATGCGTAAGTAAGTAAGTAATGAAGTTGAAGAGAAAATTTCCATGGTTGGATTTTTCTTGATTTCTTTAATAATTCAGTCAGTTTCTTGCATTTCGTCAAATTGTTCTGTTCCTTTTATTTTGTAGTGTTTTAATTGTTCATATCCTAATTCGTGTAATGATTAAACATATAATTGAAATTACTAACTAATATTTCAATTTGATTGAGTTGAATAGATTCGCTTATGTTTTTCATTTATCATTGAAACTATACCGGCAGATTTTCATTCTCAAAGATAGATGAATCGAACCTAAAGATTTCATTGTTCTTATAAATAATATCATCAGCCCAGACTTCAAGTAGAAGTGAGGTATCGCTTAGGTTAATTTGCAATCTATACACATTAAAATTGATCCAGTTTACTAACGAATTAGAAAAAATTAAGGACAAGTATAAAATCTAGAATCAAGTCATAAAGAAAGACAACAAATATCGATATTCAGATGACGAGACAACAATAACGGGTCAACAATAACAAATCAAGACTAAGGTCGACAGTATGAGATGTCAGGCATATGAGGAGATATTCGAATCTGGCTGAAGTTTTTATCGGCGATGTTTTCCAGAAGAATAGCGAAAGCTTCATAAACAAACCAACTAGTTCAGGGAATGGCACTCTACCAAAATTATTCACTTAAGCTACAAATCTTCTCCATTTACGATTATAAATAATGTATCTTCATATCCAATAAGTCACTTAATTGATAACGCAAACATGTACAAGGCTACAATTTATGTACAAAGCAATGAAATTAAGAGTGGAAATTCTTGAATTTCGGAGCGAAACTCATTTGTCCATATAGTCAAGTACCATTTCGGCATTATAGCCGATATTAGTCCGTGATTCAAGCCCCTAATCCGATTCCCAACGCTTAATTCCCACTCTGAATTCAAATTCTAATCTCTCATACTAATTTATAACCCCCTTTGACCCTATTAAGTGAGTTGCCCCAAGGTCACTTAAGTATCACACTGAAGTTGTTTGTAAGTTACAGTCTCCCCAATAAATGTTGTTATTTATTGTTAATTAATTTATAAATCACTAAGTAATGAATGTTGATGATAACACTAATATGGCATGCCATATTCACTAAACTTTTTCACACTTAATTCAAGAGTTTGGAAAGACAACTAAATATGTCAAACATATATTTAGATTTCTGTCTCTTTAGATACTCAGATATGTATGTAAAAAGAACATGCAGAGAAAACAAAACATCTGAAATTCTACAAGGATTTAGAGCGTTCTTAAAACCTATAACTCGTTTACCGAGCGCAAATAAAAGAACGCAGCTTTAAAATAAAATATATGTGGGGTGGTGATAGTGTTAGGTTGCTCAAATATGAGTTCATGGTCAAAATATAGCTTAATTACCAAAATTAGAGTTCACTTGTGACTGATTTACTGCTTCATTAATGAATTAAAAGTCTTCTGATAAACACACATACGAGAACTCTCTACATGATAAACCTATTCTTGGTATAAAGTTTTGTTGTAACTCATTAAAAAGAAAGACATCTATCTTTTGCGAATATTGTTTTCATTAGTCCCGTAAAAGCACTACCAAATGGGTAATGCTTAGATTAAGAGCAGTATGCAATTGGAAAATATCAAAATGGTTGATAGGTGGATGAATGTTTATGGAGTGAGTTTAGAAAACATGTTACGCATACCTAACCACCGCCTACTTTGAAGTTTAATGAAAAGTACCATACGAACAGATTGACAGAAAGCTAAAGGCTGTCAAGCAAAAGCATTCTATTGGTCAATAGAGTCGTTATCTCATAGTCCAAACTGCTTATTAAATGTAGACTCCCTGATTGTAGCCCTAACACTAGACGTGGCTTATCATTTGTGGAGTTATGTGGTTGATGATAATTAACAACAGATTAACCAAGCCGATAAAACAACCACATGTCGGATTACTTACATGTTTTCAGTATTCGGTTGAAACTACATTCAGTGCTCCACACCATTCGCATAACCATAGTTTACACATGTCCTAACTCCGTTTTTAACAGTACCGTCACCAAAACCACCATGGCGTTGCAGACGATTCGCTATTTCATTTGCTTTTAATAGACAACGTTGACGTTGATAAATTTCATTCATTGTATCCGAATCTGCCTTGACTAAGTGTTTTTCAGCATTAGTAAGTTTATTTAAGTCCTAATGAGAATATTAAACAATGAGTATCAAGAATACGAATGAGTATCAAGATACGAATTTAACGGCGTTTTAAAAAGAAATTTCGTAATTCAATAAACTGTAGGGTATTAAAAGTATTTACAACGCTAATTTACTAAACTATCACTAATGTATATCACAATTCGTGCGATAGATTCACCACAGTACAGTGTAAGTTAAATTGATCTTCACTATACACAATATCATAGAATTCAAGTGACGTGCTTCTACAAGCAATCATGGTAGAGAGTTTACTGGATAAAAACTAATTAGTTCAGACCCCTTTTCATATCATATCACAACTATATGAACTCAATTGACACGTAGATACTTCGACGAGTACAGAAATTTAGACTTTGCAAATTAATAATCTACCTCTTCTGAAGTTTCACACAGTATGGGATCCTTAATTGCAGCACTGATTACATCAGAGAATTTTCGAAAATATGCCAAGTCCTTCGGTTGCACAACCAGCATTTCTACGTCGGATCGTTCTTTGATAACTTTCACAACATCCGTGTGTGAGAGACGATCTACTTAATTAAAAATTAGTCTGCATTTTTACTTGCCTACAGTTTTTTTGTTCACCATTAGAATTAAATCTCCATTGAGTAGACCACCTGATTCACTGGGTGAAAGAGGCTCAACGTTTTCAACTTTGTGTTCATGTTTGAAAGAATCTGTTCTTAGACTGAAGCCATATCCACTGAAATTCGGCCACAATTTTAAATGGCAAAGTCTTGCTCTGTGGTTCTGACTTTCCGCGGATTCCTTCATTTTAAAAGAGTACCATAACTGAATATTCACAAAGAAAGTGGCTAAACAAACATTGCAATAAAAAGTAGTTCTAAGCTACTAGTATTCACTCGATAAATTAAAAATCACCTCTCCCCAAGAGATATTTAACGAGTCGTGTGCGGTTATTCAACCTTTAACAGGGTTTTTGGTAGATAATAAACTGGGAATAATTTTGCAGTGTTGTGTGTTTCAAGAGTAGTGTATCAAAAAAATCAACAGCACTTTTGAGATATGAATGTAGTAAGTTGTTTTAACCTAATTCTGTGATGATCTGCGAGGATCTGGTCAACTTAATAATCATCTATTAGGATTGTGTTGGCAAACAAATAAGTTTCCGTCACTGATGCAAACCTTATCATTTTTACTAAATAAACTCCTACCTGTAATTACTTGAACAAGTACTCTCACCAGAGCAAATCTGATTACCCCGACTAGTTAACTTATATTATACGTACTACGATACCTCAACCTATTATCCAAATAGATATTAAATTTGAATCACAGCATAAGAAGATGCTGCAAAGGGCAGAGTTGTCAAACTCTGTGTATCCTTGGCCTCCTTCGGATGGATAATGGATGGACCGTAAACGACGTGCATCGCTAAACATTCAGCATTTTTCCATAAGATGAACCAACAAAGCTTAGTAGCGTGTTCTATTCCACATGACTTTTAAAGTGCATAATTTTGTACTTTCTCATTAACCGTTCAACTTCGCATGTAACTCTTCTAGAATTACTGTCAGTCCCCAGCCCGAGTAAAGGAGAAAGATTGGGAATGGGACTAGTGACCTCACCCTGTAGAAAACTAACTCACTAAAAAATGGTAGCAAAAAAACTATTATTCAAACAATTTAAACTCTGCCCTGACACTTGAAGGAAGAATTATTTCGCCTCATGATGAAAGCCTAGAGTTTTTGGAAGTCACAAGGCCGATGTACATTCTAACAACCCCATCAACAATCGATATAAGTACATGGAACCTCCGGACAATGTGGGAGACTGGAAAGTTCAGTCAAATAGCAATGGAAATGACGAGATACAATTTGGCAGTACTCTGAATCAGTGAAACCAATCGGACTCAAGCTTTACAGCAACAGCCAGATACGGGAGATATGACACTGTACTCCGGTCAGGAAGACAGAAATGCTCCACACACTCAGGGAGTTGCCCTAATACTGTACGGAGAAGCTCGAAATGCACTTGAAGGATGGGAATCTCATGGATCCAGGATAATCAAAGCATCATTCAAAACAAAGAAGGAGGGGATCACAATAAAAGTTATCCAATTTTATGCACCCACCAATGATAGCAACGACAATGATAAAGATCACTTCTATGAAAGGCTGCAATCAATCATAGCTAGGTGCTCAAGAAATGACTTCACAATCCTGATGGGAGATCCAAATGCTAAAGTCAGAGTGGACAACACAGGATATAAAGATATAATTGGACGAAATGGATTGGGAGAGAAAAATGAATATGGGGAGAGATTTGCAAATCTATGTGCTTTCAACAAATTGGTCATAAGCCGCACAACATTTCTATACAAATGCATACATAAAAGTACATGAATCTCACCGGACCACACCACAGAGAACCAGTCGGATCATAATTATATCAACAAAAAATTCCGATGGACAATCGAAGATGTGAGAACCAGGAGAGGAGCTGACGTAGCTTCAGAACACCACGTGGCTGTGGCCAAGATGAGACTGAAGCTAAAGAAACACTGGACAACCGGGGGAACAGAATTACAAAAAGGTTCAATACAGCCTTTCTTCGAGATACTGACAGGCTCAACGAATTCAAGATCACTCTCAACAACAGGTTTCAAGCCCCACAGGATCTAATGAGAGAGAAATAAACTACTGTAGATGGCATCACCACTACACGAAGATTACGTGCCAGGTATCGACGTGGATACCTCGGTGGTACGGTGGTGAGCGTTTCACTTATTATTGGTGTGTTTGCTCATCAATCTCACTTTACACTGTGGCATCATCACTGTTGCGGAGAATCAAGCTTGCTTATCTGGGGAACGTAATCGCTTGCCAACGCAGCATATTTCGGCTATTCTTCATAGAACCTTAAAATGGTATGGATATTTTTAACGATTATCACTGTTAATTGCTTAACACTCAACCAACCTGTAATTCATACTTTTAAGCATATCAAAATATTCAATATTCCCAGATTTATCATCAGTCGATATTTCGCGTTCAGTTGTAGCCTCCTCATTACCATTTGTCTTACAGCTCATCAATACTCGGAGGATTCATACTCATTGTTTGGCAACCTCCGACGCGCAATTACTCTCAGCATGTTGCTACTGATTCAAATGGCCGTTACATCTAGTACAGGAGTATCACAGAGCCAGTAAAGTGTCAGTGGGCCAAATTATCTGGTAGTTGGGTCGGGGAATGTCGAGGAGTTCATCGATCCTCGTCAAGTTCAAGGACAACCAATGCGCATCAATTAGTTGCACGTCATGGACTGGGACATAAGATTGTGGTCGTAACCTGCCCCTTGTATTTAATTCTGTTAATACATTTCTGTAACAACGTCTTTTGTGTCATATATTCTTTAAAGTAGTACTTTGATGCAATGAAAAGGAAATCCTCGTTAGGTGTTGACCACAAGGTGTGACTTCGAAGTTAGCTGTTGTTCACAACATACCCAACTAACTCTAGTAGGCCCCCAATCATCTGGGGCAGATCATTTACGTTGGTGATATACATAAATTCCAGGACTTACCTCTTCTTTAAGAGTTTAAATGAAGCTTATAGTAAAGTTTGCCATGTTATGCATCGAAATCCTGGTTATTGTCCCTAGACTTATATTGAGACTGAGATTAAATGGGTGTTTAAAAGGATACCTAGGAGTAGCTCTGTATTGCAGTTACAGATATCCCCTGAGTCTCTCATACTAAAGTGTATAAAGATTCAGTTCCTTAAAGCGCGCTATTCGAACGGGAAGTTTAGTCCTAACGTGATTTACATTTTTCAAACTTTTGCTGTGTTCTTACGCAACAAAAGTATCATTTCCAATCCAAAGAATCTATTCTGAGCTATACGTTCGGTAGATTACTTCTTTTTTGTGTTTCACTCAAATTAATAGTTAACTGTGGTTTTGCCTCAGCTCACTATCGGTTTTTTTTATAGTTTTCACGTGAAGGCTAGCTTTAGCTTATCGTTAACTGTTTTTATACATTTTTGATAGTTTTTGTTTACTGTGTGTTTTTTAACGGTCCTAAATTTACTGCTTATATTTTTAAGACAGTCTAAATCACTAGCCATGAAAAATTCATGCAAGAGACCTGGTTGCCGTTTTGCCGTTACATCTGGCATCCAATGTGACAACTGTAAAGGTTGGTTCCATGAGGCATGTACAGATCTAACAGCAGCAGCCTATAGCAGACTCAGCAAGTCTGATCGTAGGTGGGTATGTGTTACCTGCAACACCGATACGGTAGATATGTTGGGTACTATCATTACTTTACTGACAGGTCTGAGAGATAAGTTGTCTAAGAATTCGGTAAATGATATCATCATGACGGGTAACAAAGCTGGAACGCATAGGGCAAATAAGAAAAAGGATACTGACAGGTTGGTTATCGACGGTGCTGTTAACAGCACGAGTGATGATGTGCTGAAACTCAGCACCATCTTAACATCGACTGTCATCGACTCCCTCAGTAAACTTGGGTCCCCCGGGGAATGGTCCTTGAATGAGACAGTGGTTCCTAAAAATTCTGTAGGTGGATGGACTCACGTTAACAGGAGTAATAAAGCCCAAGCGTCCCCTCCGAAACTGAACGTCCCAAGTATCGTGCGTAAATCAATTGATGCTTTGACCGCACAGTCTACAACCAAGACTGTCCGCCCGATCATCACTGAGCCCAGGAATCGAAAACACACCTCGACATCCAAACAACAAGATACCAAACCTAGACGCCCTGGAAAACCTGGGAAATCAATTGCGGTTCGTGACGACTCTGTCATAATCATGAACCTTATTGACAACCCCGACCTTCCTCTCAGTTTGCAGGACAAAAACGATAGGATGCTCTGGGGAGAATTAATCAAGAGGCTTGAACTCCCTAGAATAGAGCCTTTGACCGTCACACGGCTCACTCGGGGGAAGGACTCTAACCACCTAAACCACCCGAGGCTGCTTCGTGTTACACTTAAGAATGCCTCCGACGTAGAGGACGTCCTGCTAGCCAGTCACTTACTGAGGTCCGATGGGAACGTAAGAATACTGCCCGACATACCGTATTCTGAACGAAATCTCATCCGGAACATCCCTAAGGAATCTCGCGAGGCGTTCTTCCGCGGACGAAATATCATTGTGCAAGGTGTGCCGGAAAGTATGGACCCAGCTCAAGCAAACTCTGATATTCGGGAATTGAAATTCATCAAGCATTCCTTAAAACTCAAGAACATATTGACCCAACAGGTAATGAGACTGGCCAAGAGAGACGGAGACTCTAGGCCCCGGCTGCTGAAGATAACCTTCCACTTCTCCCACATGGCGGCTGCAACTCTGGAAGCATTTCGTGCCAATAGACGTCGGTTGCCAACTGGCATCCATATGCATCCGGATAGGCCCCACGACAGCAGGATCAAGCACAAACGAAAGCTGGAGCTGACAATTCCACACGTGGACTGTCTTGATCATAAAAAAACGTGTAAAGGACAGGGACTACCAACTCGGTAAACATCGTATAGGTAGGCTACCTTTCCACTCACACACGGCTCATATAGGCAAACAAGAAGAGGCTCACGCGTTCCAAATTGAAAGCATAAACTGCCTATACACGAACGCCGCGAGCTTGCCAAACAAAATGGATGAGCTACGTGAACTTAGCAACGCTAATGATGCCCATCTGATAGGAATATCCGAAACTTGGATAACGTCTCAGTTTACGGACCAAGAGTTAGCAATAACTGGGATGTCTTTATTTCGCAACGACAGAAAAACAGGAATGGGGGGTGGGGTAGCACTATACGTACGGTCATGCCTGGATACGCACCAACTTCACAACCAAGAGTTTCACAATCTTGACGAGTCAGTATGGTGCTCAGTAAGATTATCTACCACCTCAAGGTGCCTAGTTGGGGTCGTTTACAGGAAGCCCACTGCCGACATCGAATATGACAAACGTCTGCTGGAAGGATTAACTCGCTCTACGCGTCTCGGATTCTCTCATATCCTGATTCTAGGGGATTTCAATCTCCCTAGAATCAACTTCGTGGAACATACATACATTGGTGGTGCTAACTCTACTGAAGCTCTGTTCTTCAACCTTATCGGCGACCTGGGATTATTTGAAAATATGAAGTCGGCAACCCGTTGGAGAAACAGTCAGACGCCGTCACGCTTAGACTGGGTATTCACAAACGAAGAATTCCTAGTTGACGACCTCTCAATCCTGGCTCCCCTGGGGAAAAGTGATGACGCCGTCTTATCATTCAGCTTTGTCAGCAAAACGGAGCTACGATATCCTACTAGCAACAAGCGCTGGAATTTCAAACGGTTGTATGTGTTAACTTTACAGGACTATCTACAACAGGTGGATTGGGATGTTCACCCTCAAATTGAAGTGGATGCTCATTGGGATTTTTTACTGCACACGATCTTATGTGCTACTGAGCATTCAGTTCCTAAAATGGTCCCAAAAAGCTACAAGCAACCTGCAATCATCAAGAACCGCACTCGTCGTTTGCTAAGCCGCAAAAGGCACTGTTGGGCTGAATATCAACGAACTGATGACAACGGCGCGTACAGGCAATACAAACATGTAAGGAACACATGCACAAAGGCAATAAGAGAAGACAGGCTTCAGTTCCAGACCAAGCTTATCGATAGATTCGTCTCCAATACGAAATGCTTGTTCAGTTATGCAGCTTCTCTTCGACAAGGCAAAACTGGAGTTTCCCAACTGCTTGGTCCTAATGGCCCGACCAACAACGACAGTGATGCCGCTAACCTTTTGGCTGAACATTACTCCCGGACATTCCAGCTAACCCACATCAACCATACTGACGAAAGATTCACCTGCACCTGTACAGGACTTTCCGAAGTGGACCTGAGTGCTGACTTGGTGCTCCGTAAACTGCAGAACCTAAAAAAGACACTTCTCCTGGTCCGGACATGGTTCATTCCGCTGTATTGAGGGAAGCAGCTTCAATCCTGGCGACACCACTTAGCGTGATGTTTGCACACTCGCTAAGCAGAGGAAAACTACCGGAAATATGGAAGCTGGCCCACATCACACCAATTTTCAAAGGAGGTCGACGCAGTGAACCCTCAAGCTACCGACCAGTGGCCCTTCTCTCCATACCTTCAAAAATTATGGAATCCCTAGTATTCGACTGCATACTAGAACACTTATCATCCTCAAAGTTCTTCTCGCCTCAACAGCATGGTTTCAGAAAAGGTCATTTTTGTATGACCAACCTGCTGACTGCGGTGGATAGATGGACAACCATCCTTGATCGCAAGGGGAAGGTTGACGTCATCTACCTGGACTTCTCAAAAGCTTTAGATAGGGTCAACCATGCATGTCTTATCAAGAAGCTTGGACGATTGGGTATAAAACCCCTTTAATTGACTGGATCACTTCATACCTAGAAAACCGACATTTTAAGGTCAGGGTTAACTTCACTCTCTCTCAGGCTATGGAATGTCCTAGTGGGGTTCCCCAGGGTTCAATACTAGGACCTCTTCTCTTCTTGATTTATATTAACGATCTTCCTCAACAAGTTTCATCTGATTTATTGCTTTTTGCTGATGATGTGAAACTTTGGAGAGAGATACGTAATCACAATGATATACTAGTTCTGCAGGAGGATCTGACTCGACTTCAAAGTTGGGCAGAAGACAACGGACTTACCTTCAACACTTCAAAGTGCAAGGTCCCTCCGATATTCTGGAGGGACATAAGTTCGAAACTTCTAAAAGCCCCCAACCTCGCATGTATCCATTCTCGGACATCAGTTGTATGTTGCAACGCTACCTCCATAAAGTGCGCCAAATGTGATATTGATATTGACATGTTTCTTATGAAATCCATTTACATTCATATCTTATGAAATATCAACCCAACTGAGTAATTTTCAACAGTGAAAATTGTAACTTCTTTATCAATTTGATCTTGCCTGTAAACCGGCATGCCTCATGTAACAATGTTATTTGAGAATAAATTATTATTATTATTATTAGTCCATCTGAGACATGTTGCAGACTATAGTTATAACTTAGGTAACTCACCTCTAGAAGTTTCCTAAGTTGAAAAAGATTTAGGAGTGTTGGTACCCTACGACCTGAAATCGTATGCGAACTGTGACAAAAACGCCTCTCAAGCAAACCTTGCACTGGTAACATTGAAGCGCATTTTTGGCCAGTTTGACGGTAGAACCTTCCACATAATCTTCAACAGTTTTATTCGTCCCCACTTAGAGTACGGAAACATAGTATTTCCTCCTACTGTTATACTTACCAGAAATCAGATTCGACGTTACATATGCTATTTTTGCTTGGGTGGCAGTTTTAGTTACAGCTAGTGTAAGACTTCGGACAGTGAGTTATCAAAAAAACCAAAACGTCTCTGACGTTTGTTACCATTGGAGGATAACTTCTTACATCGCCTAAGTAGTTTGTGGCTGCCTCAAATAGATTACGTTAAAGTTTGAAGTACTGAAAAAAGATGAGTTATCATCTGTCCAACTTAAAAATAAAGGATGAAATGTGATAGCACTATCACTCAGACTGGGTAAAAAGAGGATCATATACTACTTCAGTCATTAAATTGTTAATTTTGATGTTTCTTGTTTGGTCGTACCAATATATTGTGTATCTACATAGCCCTGATGGTGATATTTCAAATGACATCAAACTACGATAGGTTAGGAATTTCTATATTCTGACGCAGGTTTTAGTAATAAAGCCTCACATGATTTTTCAAGTGAATACATCAGTGATGGGAAAATCGAAAAAGTCCATTGCATACAACTTAAGGATGGAAAACAGAAAGTCACTGGAAGTTTGCAAAACGATAACATAGATACTTGCATTCTCCCACAGCTCACAAGATCTGACATAAACTGGTAAGAAATTTCAGTGTGATTGAACGGCTGTTTAAATCCATTTTGTAGTGTGTGATCGATTAAGAGCGATAATCTATGTTTTATAGCTAATTTTTTGACTCGTACTTCGAAAATGTATCGACAAAATGTAGTTAAATGTCTAAAGTATAGCCATCCCAATTCTCTATCTAAGACTGTCTAGGAGTTCATTCAGTTAAATAATCTGCGTGTAAACTATATCCTACACAACCTTATTAGGATTTCCTCTCAGATGATTGTCTTCAGTATTCAGTAATAAGGATAGTAGGTTGATGAGCCTGTGTTAATCTTGACAGATTTCCTTTCAGTGAAGGTCCAGCTTCTTTTTGAAAATGTTCACTGATGGTGCTGATACCACTTGTTCTGGTAAAGCGTTCCAATCATTGACCACTCGATAAGAAAAACGGGACACCACCTTTAGTTTATTAGATCGCGGTTTCAGAACCTTCTTGCTATGACACCGGAGATTATCAGTGCTGGAGGGAGCGAAAAGGTAAGACATATTAACACCCAGATCATAATTAAAGATACGAAATGCCAGTATAAGGTCATCTCGCGTCCTACGATAAGATAAGGGGAAAAGGTTTAGACGTTTTAAACGCTCATCGTAAGGGAGTTTAGAAAGACCCTTTACTGATTTTGTCCCTACACGCTGGACACGCTCAAGCGATTTAGTATCCTTTATCAAACAAGAGCTAGCTGCTTGGATACAGTATTCTAAGTGTGGCCTTACATAGGTGGGATATAAAGTTCGAAACATATCCTCGTCAAAGCATTTAAATGCTCTGCGAAGCGACCATAGCGCGCGATAGCCTTTGGAAGCAACCGCATTGCAGTGCGTAGTAGTTTTTAAGTCGTGACTTATAATTACTCCTAAGTGTTTGTGCTCATGAATGCGTGGCAGAGATGTACAATTAATGGTATAATGGTAACTAATATCGTGCCCGATGTGCATGAACACGCTCTTCCTGGAATTAACTTCCAGGCCCCAATCATGAGCCCACCTAATTAATTCGTCTAAATCTGCTTGCAGATAACAACGATCAGTCTCATTTCTTATTGTTCTCCAGATTGTAACATCATCCGCAAACAATAACGTCGACGACTTAAGTAATAAAGGTAGTTCATTAATATACAGAAGGAAAAGTAAAGGGCCTAAGACGGTGCTTTGGGGTACACCATTTTTGACCGGTTTCCATTCGGATAGAGTTCCATTGACCCTCACTCTCTATCTGCGGTCACATAAGAAGCTTCCTATCCATTCCTGTATAGCACCTGTTATACCAAAGCTCGAGAGCTTTTGCATAAGACCTAAGTGTGAAACCTTATCAAACGCTTTGCTAAAATCTATGAATATCACGTCGACAGACTGGCCGTTGTCTAGGGCAGCTGTTCAATCCTCTCTCGCAATGAGTAAGTTAGTCAAGGATGAATGCTTGTTACGAAACCCATGTTGCTCGGGAGTAAACAGATTGTTCGAATCTCTGTGGCTTAGTAGCTTAGCCCGAATTAATTTTTCAAGTAACTTAACTACTATACTGGTCAGGCTAACAGGACGGTAGTTAGATACGATCCGTCTCTGACCATCCTTAAATATAGGACTAACTATGGCGTCTTTCCAGTCTCTAGGTAGTTGAGCCTGTGAAAAAGACATGTTGAAGAGCATCGTGAGCGGTCTTGAGATAATGTCCGCAAGCGATGACAGCAAACGTGGGTGTAACCCATCGGGGCCCTGTATCTTACAAGATTTTAGGTTAGTTACCAAAGAAAGAACAATATCCTCTGTCATGTGCAAAGGTCCTATGGCTGGTATCTCATTGTCAACGGGACAAGTAGTTGTAACACTACACGTAGAGTAGACTTCACTGAAATAGTTTGCAAATGTCTCCGCTTTCGCTAGATCAGATTCAGCCAATAAAGCTGAATTTTTGCTTAACAGTAATGAGGGGATACCATCACTACGTTTCGTCCGCCTTTTAACGTACGAAAACAGTCGCTTTGGACAGGTACGGCTATCGTATGCCAACTGTCGTTCGTAAGCCATGCGGGATTTAGCTATGGTCTTTTTACATATATTCCGGATTTTTTTATATTGGCACTTAAATGATGCCTGACCTGTTGACAAGAATAAGTCCCAGAAGTGTTTCCTACGCTTCAACAGCTTCCGGGTTTCTTTATTAATCCAATATGATAGCTTACGTGCTGACCATGGGATAAACGGTTGAGTTACGGATTCGAACGTAGACTTGAACCTATTCCATGCATCATCAATCGATCCATCAGCATCGACCGACCAGTCAATTGAGATAGCATAGTCCCTGATTGCCGGAATATTAGCTCTCCAGATATTAGGACGGGGTGGAGCTGATGCAAATTCTATACCATGTATCCGGAACTTAAAGGAAAGTACGACATGGTCACTATTCACCAGTGGGGGAAGGTGTTGAATGTCGACGATATCTTCACAGTGGTGTGTGAGGACAAGGTCTATCAATGACGGATTATGTTCCAAGTCTATATGCGTCGGCTTAACGATACATTGTACAAGTGCACATTGAATAAATGATGACAGAAGGACGCTATCGAAACCTCCACCTGGAGCTGTGAGCTCTATCCAGTTTATATGGGGTGCATTGAAGTCTCCAACGATGAGACAACATTCTGCTTTACTCCAAGAACAGACGTGTCTTAGGATAAAGTCGTCAGCGAGACAACACGGACTACGATATATTCCTCCTATCGTCACTAACCCGTTTCTAGACCTAATTGCACAACATACTACCTCACACGTACCACTTACATGCGCCTCCGATATGATCGAGTTAATGCGGAAGTGGTCACTAATATATAATATTATGCCTCCTCCCTTGCGACTTCTAACTCTATCACTTCTGACACAGATGTAGCCTGGAATGACTGGAGAACAGTCTATATCTACAGTGAGCCAAGTTTCGGTGATAACAATTATATCCGGATTTAAGTCATCTACCACCAAACTTAGTCCAGACATCTTATTCCGAAGACTACGAGCATTCGTATAACACACATTCAAGGTGTTTTTGGAGACATGAGTTCTACCCGCACAGGTCTCGGAAGCATTGGCTTCCAAGACCTGACTACCCGAAAACCCTTAATCGTAAGGTTCGCTTCACCGTTTAGCCTTCGAGTTTTTAACTCTGTTAGGGCATTCTTCCACTTGATCCGATCCTCAAATGGCCAGTCAGGTCGAATACGAATGTTTAAGTCACGAGTTTTGCGTGCGTTTAGTAATATGTCTCTTTTCTAAAAATTACCGAGTACTAATTCAAGGATCCTTCCCTGTTGGGTTTCGCCTCCAACATATTTACCGAGTCTGATGACTTTCGAGATATGTACCCCTGGGACCTCATCGGGCAGTATATTTCTGATGAGAGATCCCACTAACTGTAGGTCGTGGGCATGTCTCTTAGCAGGATCGGTGTCTTTCGATTCTGCCAAGTTCCAGATGATTACACTAGGAACCTGTTTAACTTCCTTAAAAGTCGTGTTCACGGCCTTCGACCGTGATGTCAGATCCTGCCGGTTAGCTACCGGCTTCTTACTGTTAGCTTTCTTTATAACAGTGTCATGTGGGTCGAGCGAGTTACTCCCAACAACATTTGGTGAAGTTAGACTATTTCCATCCACAACAGTATTAAGTATGTTCTTACATTTGAACTTGAGCGGAGTTGCCTGATGCTCAGGACGTGAGTCCAACGATGACTTATCGACTATACGCGCGCTTTCTTTGAGTATTTTTCCGTCTCTTTTGCGTTTCCGCGTAATCCATTTACCACTATTCTCAGCATCCAGATTGGAACTATTCTGGACGATAGTGGTTCTAGCCGGGTCATCAGTCGCTGCTAAAGCGACTGGTCCCTCAATACTTAATGGCATTGCTTTCATTGGTTGTACCGGAGTACAAATTTTCGCCTCATGTTGCGAAATTGGGTGTCTGGTACCTGCCATGGCAGCATTTACGACACTGATACAATCTTCATTATCAGTATCTATCTTGCCGGCACGGCCTACGTCGACCTTTTTAGCTAACGCTAGAAGGCTGATGGCTTCCTGAATGAGTAATGTCTTGCTTGAGCAACAAAACATACAGAGCCAATGAGAATTTGGTTTCGAGCACATTTTATAGGCAGCAGGGCTTAAGCGGGTGCACATTTTATGAAACCACTTCTTACATTCGTCACATTGCATCCCTTCTTCCACGGGGAATAAGCAATATGGCTGTCCACACTTGTGTACAGAGCCGACCATCTTAGAATAAAGCAAAATGATAGGCAAGGTAGATATGTAAGATAAATCACAACCTTATCAAATAAACAAGCCGCAGTCGACGAAGAATGCTTTGATGCAGTAAATACACAAAAGCAGGATCAAAACACACAAATACAATGTCACGTTAACTAAAATAAATTCAAATAAAGTGTAAACGGTAGTTTTGATACGTAATTTACGATCAAAACAGTGAATTAAGCTCAACGTGAAACAATACCACTGTCCTTTTAAATAGCGCGCGAAGAATTGACTGCAGATGGAAGAAATATTTAAAAACACAGTAGTAGCAAGATTGTCGCTCAGTATGCATTGAAATGATACCAAATTATCTCTTGAACTATGCTGATATAAGGCAATTGTGTTATAGCATTTCAATTTGTCTTCATACAAATGGTGAGAAAGACTTTACAACCGTTCAGTCTCTTCCCCGTTCAACCATTCTAGTGAAGATACCACAGATATTGTAGTTTGACAACACTTTACCAGTAACACCTATAACCGAATCGCGCCCACCCAGTAATATATATTTGATGGGTTATGAATATATCGAGAAGTGACTGATCTAATCTTGCTAATGATCGTTGGAGATGTTTCCCACGCCGTTCTGAAACGTGATCTGGTACGGATGCATGTTCGAGCGTTTTCAGCTAAATGAGTCCACTTAAACTAATGTGGTGAGCATCCGATGTTGAACACTCACAGAGATATTGATTTTGGGGATTTATTTACAACTGCACTAGCATATCCTCGTTTAATTTGGAATGAGGCCTTAGTGCACAAATCCCATATTTTAAATGCAGTCTCGCATGCATCAACTATAATATTTTGTGCATTACATCGCCTACTTTCAGAAATGCTTTTTGAATTATTGATGAGATCCGGAAGTTTTAGGGTGCGCTGATCTCACAGTTACAAGTGAGTCGGACGTTATTGTCTATTATGACCCTTAAGTCTATGTAACTAAAAGTCTTGAGTACAGAAATTCTGTTAATCGTAAATTAGTCAAAGAATAGACCGGATGATTTTTTTCATTTTGTGTGAATATTTAACACGAGTTAAGAAAAAAGAATTTGAGACGTTTTTTAGGAACTCAACTAAACACAGATTTTTATGCGGTAAGAATAATGTTCGCCTTCATGCGTTGCTTCCTCTTACTGAAACAACGAGTAATTCAATATTGAAATGCACGATATCTACTAAAACTAGTGGAGTTCAACAGTATCGGGTTTAAGACAATTACCCTACAACATCATTTAAATATGTCTGGAAGATATCATGAATTAGTTGAGATCAGACATGTACACCATTGGATCCCGGCTTAGTGGTCTAGAGGTTGAGAGTTGGTGAGCAAGACTTGTAGAACATGAGTTCAATCCCAGGTGTGATTATTGATTTTTACTTTTGAGAAGTCCGGCACTAGGATGAAAGCACTGATCAGTGCCTCATGGTTCTCGAACTTGGATATATAACTATAGAACCTAATAAAAATGTACTCTAAAGACTATTCTTTATTTACAAAACTTGTATTTTCTTTCAAAACTATTGAACACAATGAAAATATTCTTTTCATTTTAGGTATCGTTTAAAATTTCATGAAAATCTATTACTTAATATTTTACAAAATGGTTATCATAAAACATATTCAGAATTATTCAATTTAATTGATTATGAAAAGAAACAACGGATGGATTCAGTGAATCCCTCATCATCATCATCATCATACAGGTCTATTGAACCATTAACTGAAAGACATCAATTACTTTATCAAATAATGATACATTTAATGAATGCAGAACATTCTAATCATTCTAATAATATTGAAGAAGTCTATAAAGAGAATTTATATATAGCAGGATTATTTCGTTCAAATGATCATGATCAATGGTTATTAGAAATATATTTACAAAAATGTTTAAAAATTGTAACAAAAGGTTATACCGCCGTAAAAAATATGATCATAATTAAAACACAATTAAATAATAATGATAAAATACAATTTAATAGTTTGAATGAAATAAAACAATCACTTAAAAAGAGGTTATTTGAAGCAATCTATCATAATGCTACATATTTATTTGAAACAGGTAATGTATTTTTTCTTAATAGATTAATAACTAATCAGATTCAGTCAGTCAGTCAGCTACTAAATAGAATCAGGCACATATATTCATCGGTTCAAGTTACCAAACCTCGTTGACACAACAAGATGAACACTGGATTCATAGAAGTAATTAATTTAGTGGTGGTAGTAGTATATAAATTATAGGTTGTATATAAGGATATAGTACAAGAAGAAAGACAGATATGAAGCAATTTTTAATCTCAAGGTCTAAGGGAAGATAAATAGTGTATACACCTGCGCCACCGTGATCAGATTACTCTAGTTGGATTATAAAAAATGATTGAATTTATGAGTTAGTTTAATTTAAATCATCCTGGGGAACCTAAAAGCACTGTATGACCGTTTCATCCCAGTTTAGGGTTCCTGAGTAGTGAGCATCCACGATCTCGAGTCAAACCGTATCTGTTATGAGGAAGTTACTTATTGAAAACAATGGTGGATGGTGGGTTAATATCGTGGATTGCCAACTCAGTGGTCTAGAGGTAAGAGTAAGAATCCCGCGTGAATGATCGTGGATGCCTACTGCTGAGGAGTCCCATACTAGAATGAATTGACCATTCAGGGCTTCCAGAGTGGTCTAGCTTAAACTGACTCATGAATTCAACCATTCAATTACTATAGTTTCCATAATCCCTTATTCTGTATATAAAAAGTTGAATAGATTAATAGCCAATCAGTAAATAGACAGGATTCTGAACTTCAACCGTCATGTCTGTTAATTACTTTAAGCTTATTCACTATACTGATCTAAATTTAAACAATGAATAATCAGAAATCTACTACTGTGAACGTTTAATGCATTAAAGATGAATACATAATGACGAAACTTTATTTGATATTTTTAGATTAAAATATTAGACATTCAACTGTTCAGCACTTTTTCTAACATCATCTTTAAATACTTTAACCTCATGTTTGATTACAAACGTGAATACTTTTGTTAGTAACAAACAAACTTTGCTAAAACTTATTACTGAGGAACAATACAAGAGCACATTTGTCAATAGAGATTGATCATTTGTAGTTTTCAGAACCCATAAATAGGAAATGTAAAAGTTTACTGATAGTTTCATAGTTGCTGAACAAGTTCATAGCTATTTGAATTTGGTAGCAAAAGGTATTAAGTTTGTCTTCATGTGAAGACCGATATTAGAATGTTAGAGCATCTAGATGAATAGATGTAAATAGGATCAAACGCACACTTTGAATCGCCGACAGGTGGTTCAATGATTTAAGCATTCGATCTCCAGCCACTAATCTTCAGGTCAAAACCCTGTCCAGTCTTATTCGGTTTGAGCAACCAGGTAGTATTACTAACCATCACACATGGAGTGTATCTTGACGCCAAGTATACGAACTTCTATCTGGTAAATGAGTTAGCAAATGAGAATGTACGTAGAACGAATCACGTATTCATTTTGAAAAACTAGTTCAATGAATTCTAATGATAGTCACAAACCACCTTTTCTAAGAAAACTTAACTAAATACCTATATTGTCGTCCACAAAGGTTGTAGTCCTTAATGTCAACAATGAGAATGTACAAACCTTTGTAAACTTATGTTGAATAGTGTAATGCCGTGCTTCACTAATCGTTCACCTCGATAACCGTTATAATACAAATCTCAACGGTGCATGAAATCAGAAGGCAAAGAGAAGCTGCAACTACAGTTTATTATCAAATGACGCAGACTACAAAGCTACAAGCACATGAGTAAGTATAAAGGAGAAAGTGCAAGCAATTACATAGGCAAATTTATAGCCAAATTGTACAGGGGAGCAACAAGAAAAAGCAAAAGCTAATAATAGGATTTATATGCATTCATATATGAGGAGGAGGATGAGTTATCGAATGATACTTAAGTAATCAACATTTTGGCTGGAGTGTCCTGTGCTCTAGTGATCATAACAGAACAAAGATAAATGCAAATTGTTACTATCCAAATGACAATGTCCGTTAAGTAAGTTAATAAAAGGGCTCAGCCATAATCAAAATTGGGTGTATAGGGTAGTTGCTATAATAGTATTATTTCGTTTTGTTCTACTTGTTCAATTCCAACTGTCAAGTTTTTCTATAATCCATTATCTTCCTGTGTCAGCAGTCATAAATTATATGGTGGTTGCCGTTAACGATGTAAGAAACAGAACTGGTAGTATTAGGATAGTTAAATCTTTCCTAATTCAGCAAGTGTTGTGCAACTATGATGAGCCCCATATATTAAAATATAACATATATACATTGACTTAATCTACAACAACATACTAACAATAATAATAATACGTAAATTGAACGTTAAATCTCGAAAGATTAGTCTTCGTCTTCACTATTAAGTATATATAAAAACAGTCACGGTATTGCTGTGCTCAATTCTGGTTAGCGTTTTTTTAGCGAGTTAGTTTTTCTACGGGAAGGGGTCGCTAATCCCATGCCCAATCCTCCTCCTTTTCCCGGGCTTGGGACCGGAAGTAACTTTAGAAGATCTACAGGCAGAGTTGCTATGCTCAATTACTAATTACTAATGAACTTATATAATCTATAGAATTAGTATAAAATTTTTTTGGGTTGCCCAGATGTTTAACGAATAAGTGCCCCTTAAAATTTATAATTTCATACATTACAACGGTTTCGGTCTTCTTACTTAATTACTTACGCCTGTTAACCCTTGTGGAGGGGCATAGGGCGCCCACCAGCATTCTCCATCCAACTCCGTCCTCCACAATCCTTTCCAGTTGTTATTTATCCTTTTCATATCTGCTTCTATTTCCCGGCATAATGTGTTCTTTGGCCTTCCTTTTTTCCTATTCCCTTCCGGATTCCAAGTTAGCGCTTGCCTCATATGCAGTTTGCTGATTTCCTTAATGTATATCTTCTAATAAACCTTAAATATCTGTTACTACACTCTAAATGTTTTTTTTTAAAAATTCTCCTTACCCTCACTTACCTCTAGGAAAGTACTCACAATCATTAGAACTCTATAAACAATTACAGAAAAAATTAGAAAAACATAAAACTATCTTACAACCATCTATAAATCCATATGATCAACATCAAATGAATATACCATTGTATATTGTATGTTATGAACAAATATGTCGAATCATTTTAACAATTTATCAACCAAATAAAGAATATCAAATGGATGAATTATTGTCAAATTTAAATGAAGCATTGAAATATGCTGAAAAAGGTAAGTCTAATTGTTCTTTAATCAATAAATGGAAACTCATTGGGCAATTTACTTTGTATTGTTTGTTTGGATCTTCCCATTGATATTTTTAGGACTGCAACTGGTCAGTTTGTAATTGGCATATGTGAGTATTGCCTCGATACAGCCTAAATTCACAAGCATGGTAAGCAAAAATGGATAGTGGCTAGCAGTGAAATCCAGGACGCTTGTTTCGTCCTATTTGGGAGTCGTTAGGAAATTCAATGGTATATTTCATTATAGATTGAAGGGATTGATTATTTCGGCTAAAAAATCTTCAATAGTCTAATCGTCTACAACTGGTTGAATTCCCTATTCTGTCAGTCAGTCAGCTACAACGTAGTACCAGACGCATATATGTAGTTGCCACACCTAATTAGCACAACAACATGAACACTGAATTCATAAAAGTAGTTACTTCAATGGTAGTGATATATAAAAGAAAGATTGTGTATAAAGATATAGTACAAGAAGAAAGGAATTAGTTCGTAGAAAGAAAGGTATAAAGCAATTTTAATCTCACGGTTTAAGGGAAGACAGAGGATGTGATCGATTCTGAGCCATGTCACCTAGAGTATTCAACAATTGGTTACGATAGTCACGCGGACCCCAACCAAGTAGTCTGCATCTACCAACATAACTCAGATTAGAAGTTAGTGACTTCAAGCACTGATGCCATGTTTTGGTTTGGCCGCTCCTAACTCTCTTCCAACCATCCACTACTCTAGTCAACATTGCGCGTCGTGGTAATCGGTATTCAGGCATACGTAACACGTGGCCCAACCATCTCAGTCGATGAAGATTTATTACCTCATCAACTGATTTACCATCATTCCCTAATACCCTGTGTTTAACCTCACTATTACTTACCTGGTAATCACAGCAGATGCTGGCAATATTTCCAAGACATCTGTGATCAAATACTGATGACTTACGAGTATGCTCTGCTCTTAATATCCGATAAGAACTGTTTGACAATTTTCCATACATATTACTTTATTATTCGAAACCTAAATGCTTATAAAATGGGGATTATGTTAAAATTACATATATTGTGTGCTGGGAATTCTTTTCTGTAATTCACCAATATCGTATGAAGTAAAGTCAGTATTTGGTTGGGATCATGAACCGATTAATGCTAGATCACCACTGATACCTGGAAGCACTGAACAGTAACTTCGTCCTAGTACAGGACTTTTCAGCAGTGCTCATTCATGATACCGTTCTCGGGATTCGAACCCAGGACTTTCGTTTACTTGCACGAACGCTTAACTTCTAGGTGACTGAGTTGGCCGGTATTCAACGGTGTTAATGTGTAACCTCGACTAATCCATGAAATTGTTTGAAAAGCTCAAATTCAAAATCTAAATTTAAATGAATATTTCCTAAATACACTGAGAACATTTATTGACTACTTTCAATAGAATAAGACGTCTAATATTTATCATCATCAGAAGGGGGTTGCCAGATAAGTGGTCTATCGGTTAAGTGCTCTGGCGCGAGACTGGTATGTCCTGGATTCGAATCTCGCGAGGCGGGATCGTGGATGCGCACTGCTGAGGAGTCCCATAATAGGACGAAACGGCCGTCCAGTGCTTCCAAGTTTTCCCAGGTGGTCTAGCTTCAATTGACTCATGCTTTCAACTATAATATTTATCAGTAAAATATATATATTAAAAAGAATCTCAACACTTGACATTGACATAACACCAATATTTCGACCGTCAATCCTATCCAAACTTCTTCACGGTAGTAATGAACATCAACATATCAAGTTTAGGAAGAAATTAACACCAAAAAAGTTGCCAGGTCATGCATAAGTGTTAATTTTCGAAATGACAAGAAAATATGTTTCATATGATGTTCAAGGTATTCGTAGTGTAAAACGTAAATGAACGTGCGTGTACCTGTACTTTATTGGCAATTAAAATTCTTTGAAAAGATATAGCGTTTGTTTTCAACCAAGAATATGTTATTTTCGCTCACTGGTGACTAGTTTCGAGATGAGATTTGAAGAGTTCTAGTGAGAAGCTGTTACCAGCGCAGATCTACTATGTGGGATATAAGCCAGTTATAAACATCAGGAAATGGAAGATTGGTGAATAGCTACTTAAATCGGTTGAAGTTAGACATGTACACCATTAAATATCGACTCAGTGGTCTAAAGGTTAAGGCGTTTTTGCACAAATCCTAGAAGACGTAGGTTTTATCCCTAGTGGTATCATAGATTCGTAGTTTTAGGAATTCCACACTAGAAGAAAACAATTGCTCATTGCTTTCTGGTTTTATATGGTGGTCTAACTAAGACCACTCCATAATTTAAAATATGAAAATTAGCTAAAAGGAAAAAAGAGAAATATTAAAATTGAACCAGGTCGAATAGTATTTGGAGACAAAATGCTGAATTAGGCTCCCTATTTAGGTGGTTGAGCACGAGCGTAATTTCTATAACGATTTTCACTTAAGTAATATAAAATCATAAGGAGTTTTGTGGGGATTTTAGTAATTTTATATAGTTGAGATCATAAGTCAATTGAAGCCAGACCACCATCAAAAACCTGAAAGCGCTGGACAGCCGTTTCGTCCTATTGTGAGACTCCTCAGCAGTGCGCATCAACGATCCCGCACTCGCGAGATTTGAACCCAGGACCTACCAGTCTCACGCCAGAGCTCTTAACTGATAGACCACTCAGCCCGTATCCAACGGTTTTAATATCCCGCGAATGCGGGATGGTGGATGCGCACTGTTGAGGAGTCCCATAATAGGACGAAGCGGCCGTCCAGTGCTTCCAGGCTTTCTATGGTAGTCTAGCTTCAATTGACTCATGATATCAACTCTATATAATATGAAATCATCACAAAAATATAATAACTGACATATTCCATTCATTTTGTTGTTTTTAAAATTGAATTATAGCGGAAAATCAAAAACTTGTAGGATTATGCAATAAACAAATCAGTCAAGTATATCAGAACCATAAAGAATATGAAATGGCTTTTAAAGTATGAATTCAAAAAATTATGATCAACAATTTTCATTTTTGTTTATCAATCATGATTTCTAAAGTAACATTTCAATTTCGATAAGTAGATGTATTCTTATCAATCTACACATTATAATCATTGCTTTTAGGTGGTTGGAGGTGGTCACCAGGAAATTATATCGGGGCTGTATTGTAGTACATACCTAGAATATCTAAGGCACTGATACTGCCTATAGGATTCGAACTTGCATCACCCAACTCGACAGTTTGAGACATAACAATTGAGCTGATTAGAGGATAATTGATCTGAAAGACTAGAATATTTATAATCAATTGATCGCTTAGTATTGATCAATCTTATTTTCGTCTAGTCTCTTCATTATTGTGATCACTAATCAATGTGACTTCAAATGGTGTACACTATTACTTGCTTACTTACTTACGCCTGTTACCCCCAATGGAGCATAGGCCGCCCACCAGCATTCTCCGACCCATTCTGTCCTGGGCTTTCCTTTCTAGTTCTATCCAACTTTTGTTCATTCTTCTCATGTTTGTTTCCATTTCTCAGAGTAATGTGTTCTTTGGTCTTCCTCTTCTCCTTTGGCCTTCAGGACTCCATGTGAGGGCTTGCCTTGTGACGCAGTTGGGTGATTTCCTCAATGTGTGTGTTATCCACTTCCAGTTCTTCTTCTTGATTTCTTCCTCCACTGGATGGAATCTGGTTTATTCTCTCCCACAGTAAGTTATTGCTGATAGTGTCTGGCCAATGGATCCGAAGTATCTTGCTTAGACAACTATTGATAAACACCTTTATCTTCTTGATGATGGCTTTCGTAACCATTATAATGTGATTTTATATGGTTGGAACCATTAGTCATTGTTACATCACATACAAAAACGAGAACTGATTAGGCAATAGTACAATACATATATTTTATTCCAGTTGGGTTGATGATTTGATGGAATTAATGTAAAATCATATCACTTCAGTTTTCTGTATATTATCAGTTATAATAATGTTTAGCTGAATGCTAAACGTTTTCTCGGCCATACCAGGGTATTTGAGGGAAGGGGGCGGCCAAACCGAAACGTGGCATTAGTCCTTGAAGTCTCTGACTTCTAGTCTGAGCCATTTTGGTAAATGTAGACTACTTGGTTGGGGTCCGCGTGATTATCGTTTTCACAACTGATTGGTCACTAGTTGGTGGATCAATGTCATTAATACCAGGTCCTTCTTATTGTAGATTGTTGAAACAACTGGGTTGTGATTTAAATATAATTTTTGTTCATTTAACAAATTTCTGACAGTTCTGAATGAAAGGTAAAAGTTCGTCAGTTTACCTTCAGAATGATAGTTTTCTATGATACTTTCATATATGCTGATATGGATTAGAATAGGTTGCAGTATTACACTATTGCCTTCATTGAGAACTTTTAACAATTACTTTGTACCTTTTAGTTTTACAAGGTTGATTGAAACCTGAATAACTCGAAGGTAACATCTGTGATTGTCACATTGAATGCCACGAGTAGTGATTAAACATGGAGGGACCCCAGTTCGTTCCAAATCTGAAGACACACGTTTTCGGCTTATGTTAACAAACGCAAAAGTTGGGTTCAGTTTTGTCTGTCGATTGTTACCACTAATAAAATATCTCTGTGACCTTTTTTATAATTTTTATAGAACCTACGTAGTTAAATCCTACATAATTCTTGAAACACTTCGTATAAGGTTCTCAGGATATTCATTCCATCAACCTACCTTTTTTAGGTGACCGCATCAATAGTCTTCTACCACTACAGGTAATCATTGTGACCAATCGATACGAAGTCACTTGATTAGGAATGAATATTTTTAAGCTATTGGATAGCAACATAAGAATTTTTCAATTTTACCTTTCAATTCATAGTTAACAGATGATCTAATGAATCACATTAAATAGTTCGGTCTATAATCTGTCTAATCGGTACAAACTATTAAACCACTTTATCATTATT